ATGATAGAGAAAAATAAATATTAACGAGCAAACAAACGCATAAATGAATAAATAAACGTCAGGCAGTGCTGGAGTGCGCGGGGAGGAGGCAGTAAAGTGGAGGGAGCGCTGCAGTGAGGCTGTGAAACACGCCTGCTGCCTTTAGTCTCCAATCAACACTTCATAATTTACACCCAGAACAAAGCAGAGAGACGGAGATAACGCACAGAGCAGATCCTGCAGAGGACGAGGAGACAGCATACAGCCCTGCAGGTCCCCCAAGAACAGAACACACCCTGCTTACAGGGTGTCTGACGTTTGCTTCTTTAATAATACACCAATCAGGCATAACATAATGACCACCTCCTTGTTTCTACACTCATTGTCCATTTTATCAGCTCCACTTACTATATAGGTGCACTTTGTAGTTCTACAGTTACAGACTGTAGTCCATCTGTTTCTCTGATACTTTGTTAGCCCCCTTTTACCCTGTTCTTCAGTGGTCAGGACCCCCATGGACCCCCACAGAGCAGGTACTATTTGGGTGGTGGATCATTCTCAGCACTGCAGTAACACTGACGTGGTGGTGGTGTGTTAGTGTGTGTTGCGCTGGTCTGAGTGGATCAGACACAGCAGTGCTGCTGGAGTTTTTAAACACCTCAGTGTCACTGCTGGACTGAGAATAGTCCACCAACCAAAAATATCCAGCCGACAGCGTCCTGTGGGCAGCGTCCTGTGACCACTGATGAAGGACTAGAGGATGACCAACACAAACTGTGCAGCAGCAGATGAGCTGTCGTCTCTGACTTTACATCTACAAGGTGGACTGACAAGGTAGGAGCATCTAATAGAGTGGACAGTGAGTGGACACTGAGGTGTTTAAAAACTCCAGCAGCACTGCTGTGTCTGATCCACTCAGACCAGCGCAACACTCACTAACACACCACCACCACGTCAGTGTTACTGCAGTGCTGAGAATGATCCACCACCCAAATAGTACCTGCTCTGTGAGGGTCCATGGGGGTCCTGACCACTGAAGAACAGGGTAAAAGGGGGCTAACAAAGTATCAGAGAAACAGATGGACTACAGTCTGTAACTGTAGAACTACAAAGTGCACCTATATAGTAAGTGGAGCTGATAAAATGGACAATCAGCGTAGAGGTGGTCAGAATGTTATGTCTGATTGGTGTACACTCCAACTATGAGGCTACTGTAGCTAACAAGTAATGAAAGCTTACACTTATTGATTAGCATCACACCTAAATCATCAAAGCATGTAGGTGTCCAATGTCTCTGATAGACCTGATTCTGTGGTTTCTGACACTGTATGAATCAGTGTTATCTATAAACATGGACTAAAGTACATTAGTATAGTTACATTTACAGTAGGATTTCCGTTGTCCTTGTTTTGGTGGCCTGTCCCTGGTTGTAGCTGTCCCCGGAAATGTCCCCTGTGAATTAAAACGAACCTGCAGCAGAGCAGACGAGCATACTTCTTGCGATGTGCTTGTATTGGCCAGCAGAGGTCGCTGCTGCTGCGACCTACTGAGCACTTCTACCACTTTCTCGCCTAGTTTTACAGAACACTGCTGTGTAAAACTCCACCAGAAGCTCGCAAGTGAGTCCACATGTCCACAAATGTCTTTTCAGGATGTGAGGTGACCCAGGGGTTAAAGCAGGGGTGGAGTTACGGGACTGAATCGCTCTACCAGCTGATCAGTGGGCTCTGATTTGTACAGACAGACAGTTCCACAAACAGAGCATCATTTTAAACTGCGTCACTTTTTCAGTCTCCATATATCACATATGGCATAAGCTGATAGCAGCGACTCTGTCGGTCCAGAACTGGAGCTGCCCAGGGGGGTGTTTAGGCTCTGGACATTGGGCTACAGCCACAGGTCTCTTTATCTATAATGTCTCAGCTTCATTCTCCATGGTAGCTACTGAATGACAGGGTTTATAACATTTATTTTAAAGTTAAAAACCACAGTTTAAACCACAGTTTAATACAGTACAGCATTTATCATGGTCAAAATACATGAAACTGGACCTGGCACCTGCCATTTTTATTTCATTGATAAAAACATTGGATATTTTAATGTTATACTGATTGCCAAACTGGAAATGCCCCTGGTTTTACTTCAGAAATCTGCTCACCTTCATTTACAGCATTCGGCAGACATTCGTATCTCTTACCTGCCACTGAAACTCACAGTTTAAATCACGTTACAGTGGTGGGTGAATGTAGGAGGAGTCTAGCCCAAGGACTTTTATTGGTGTAGCCTAAGCAGGGATTCCGCTGCATGGAGGGCGGTAGTATTAGCCACTACACCAAACAAACCAACACGTCGTTTTAAACCCAGGCTTTGTCCCAATTTAGTCATGGCCAATTCCCACCTGCTAGTAAGACCTTCCTAAATCCCATAATGCTCATAACACATGCTTTCTTTTTTTTTCTGGCCAAAGATTCCAGCACTGGGACGATCTGATGTTGATGGAGCCAACTCTTAGACACTTGCTCCATGTGAGAAGCTAAAAAAACAGCTAAAAACAGTCAGAAACCTCATAATTAAGTCTATTAGAGATTAATGAACATCTCCACATGGTTAATTATCTAAGCACTGATGCTAACAGGTGGGGTAGAGGCTTCATTAGCTCCTTATCTGCAGCGCTAAAACTTACGAAGCAAACTTTATACACTGAGCATGTCTTGGTTGACCAACTACACCATGTAAATTTGAATTTTTTACAGCCTGCAAATGCAAAGTGTGTCTTCAGTTAATTAACTGTGGCTTGAGGAGTGAATGAAACACTGTAGAAGAAGGAAAGAGGGCAGAAAACTCTGGATGGACTTCTGGGCAGCTTCTGTTTGGACTAGATGCCCCAGACACTGATCTCCAGTGCCTTTCAATTTGTATGTGCATGTAAATGTGGTATAACAAGGATGACCAGTGCTAGTTTAATGATATGGAAATTTTGGACAGGTTGCACCAAGTTTAATGGGCTTCCTGAGAATTGATGTTCACAGTTACTGACATATCGGAGTGGATTAGAATAGGAGAATTGCCTGTTTATTCATGGGCTGTAAGGACAATGTCAGAAACAATAAGCTCTCACTTTCACAACTGAACTTAACAGCCTGAGAAGAGCAGAACTAACAACCACTATAGGAAGACGGTAGGTGTTTCTAATAAAGCGGCCATTTAGTGGAAGCACAAGACAGGTGTTTCTAATAAAGAGGCCACTTAGTGAAAGCACAAGTTAGGTGTTTCTAATAAAGCGGCCATTTAGTGGAAGCACAAGATTTGAGTTTCCAATAAAGTGGCCATTTAGTGGAAGCACAAGACAGGTGTTTCTAATAAAGAGGCCACTTAGTGAAAGCACAAGGTAGGTGTTTCTAATAAAATGGCCATTTAGTAGGAGCACAAGATAGGTGTTTCCAATAAAGTGGCCGTTCAGTAAAAGCACAAGTTAGGTGTTTCCAATAAAGAGGCCAGTTCTTGGAAGCGCAAAGGTGTTTCTAATAAAATGGCCAGTTAGTGGAACTGACTTCTGTATTAAAAGCCAGGTTCCACTCTTGCAGTACCTGCACAGTGTGAATTGAACTGCATTTCTTCTGAAAGTTCCTCCGTGAGCAGCGCTGAAACATCTCACCCTCGTTTCTACCTCTCCACCCCTCCTGCACATGCACGGTTCAGTCACAGCGCGCAGCTAAAAAAACCCACAAACACCAACACGCGCAAATACAACAGCACACAAAAGGCACGCAGCAGCCTGAACAACACAGCCCTTCCTCAGGTCTAAAGATGGAACTCTTTAGTGTATTGAGCCGGGATGCTAAGAGGTAGATGCACATTTGTCTTTGAAACGCTAGCTTTCTTCCCTTTTATGATCTCTCGGGGGAAATCACTCCCTCTCTGTGTTTCCTCATGTTTAGTCAGTTACGGTGAGACGTAATGAGCTGATGCAGAGTCTGCAGCCAGTTTCCACTCAGCAAATTCACTTCAGCTCCAATGAGCCCCTACAACTTTCTGCTAGCCACTGTTCACTACTGACTCGGACTTTGGCACTGCATTGATTTTATTGTTGTAATAAATCCCATATTTGTTGATATTTTTGTATTTTTAATGTAGAACAGACTCGGTTTATATCACAATGCCTACATTTAGAGCCAGTTATTCATTCAGCCTAATGAGAAACTGTAGAACAGACTCAGTTTATATCACAATACCTACATTTAGAGTCAGTTATTCATTCAGCCTAATGAGAAACTGTAGAACAGACTCGGTTTATATCACAATACCTACATTTAGAGTCAGTTATTCATTCAGCCTAATGAGAAACTGTAGAACAGACTCAGTTTATATCACAATACCTACATTTAGAGTCAGTTATTCATTCAGCCTAATGAGAAACTGTAGAACAGACTCAGTTTATATCACAATACCTACATTTAGAGTCGGTTATTCATTCAGCCTAATGAGAAACTGTAGAACAGACTCAGTTTATATCACAATACCTACATTTAGAGTCGGTTATTCATTCAGCCTAATGAGAAACTGTAGAGTATGTCAGTTGCACAGGAGCCAGCGGTAGACACCTGTCTACATAGTCAGTCACTACATAGCACCCCCTTCAAAGGTCAACTGTCCCAGTGACCCACCAGCTCAATCTAAGCCTCTGGGCGTGTACAGTACTATTCAGTACAAATGCCGTGGGTCCAGTTCTCGCCTGGGGCCACATCATTGACACCACGGCTCCTCCAGTGCATGGCGGAACCCCCCCACAGTGCACAGCTGGGCGCGAAGGCAGCGACACTCCACCCCGCCTCCTTCCACTCTATTCGCTGCCCATGAGCGCTGCTTGTGCATGCTGTGGCCCTGCCCCCGCTGCTGGTGACTGACCTGAGCTGGACGATGGCCAAGAAGTGCTCTTTATAAAACTTTCAGGCAGGAAGGCACATATAGAAACACCCACCTGCCACAAGTATCCCCGTCATGGTAGACCAACCTCCCGACACAAAATACACTAACTAAACCCTCAACCTGATGCACATAACACAACTAACCCATAAACACACACTTCAGACTAATACACAACAACCACAACCGCAACAATAAGTCCTCTGCGCCTGGCCGCTCACATGGCCACGCCTCCTCAGCCTCTCGGAACCAGCACCAGCCAGAAGTGGGTCGTCGTCTTTCTGGAGAGGTGTGAATTGTTATCTGAGTTACAGGGAACAGATATTCTTCATTAAAAAAATATCCGAGTTGATTCGGATTCTGCCAACTGAATGGCCACCAGGGGGCACTGCAGAAAGAGGCTACTGTACTTTACTGTAAAGTACTGTGTGAAAAACGAAATTCAAAATCAAATAAATAAATAAGACATGCCAAAACATGCCCTGTTCTCCATTCTGTGTACCTTCATCACCTCCTGCTGCATTGTGCTTATCCTCCGTCAGCGTATCATTTATTTTTTAAACCGGAGGACGAAACACTTTGCTCTGTTTACTCAGGTGAAGTTGTAGTGTTGTTGTTCATTAGCACTCCGAGTTCTGCCAGGTGATTGGTGCACTAACGCTAATGGCACTAGTGTTTTATGTGTCAAGAGTCCTGCAGTGTTTTGCAATAAAAGTAAATTTAATTTGCAAACTGAACTGAAGCGAATAATATCAGGAAACTCCGCATGTGTTTAATCACGCCGCATTAGCAGGGATGCTCCACTGCAGCGAACCGTGTGGTAAACAATGTGCTTAACTGTAGTTTGGTTCTATTTTGCTCTGGACTCTGAGATCCAGCCTTCATTCATTTCTACGAATCGTTCGAATCGAATGAAAACGAATCGCTAATCATGGGAATGAATTCAAAAATCGATCAAATTAATTTTTATTTTTAACCCTGTCTCCAGAGAACCACTGGTGACATCCTGTACAAATAAAAAAATAATGCATGGCCACAACTTAGGCATGGGAACGAGATATTTAAGTCATAGCCACAACTTAGTCAGGCGTGGGAATGAGATCGTGCCTCATTAAGCTGTGGTCAAGGCTTAATTATCTTGTTCCCAGCCTTACTAAGTCATGGCCATGACTTAATTATCTTGTCCCCACACCTTACTAAGCCGTGGCCATGCATTAGGATCTTATTTCCATGGGTTAATACGGTGTGGTCACTATTTATTTATACAGGATGTCATCAGCGGTGCTCCGTACCCGTCCCCTCTGGGGCTCCATATAAAAGACCTACCTCTGTGAGTGTGGGGGGCTATTTCAAGCTTTTCATGTAATTTTTCAAGGTCTCATACGAAAGTCTATATTCTGCTGTTGATGTTTTGCTATATTTTGAATAAACAATGTCCAGTTCAGGTCATTATAAAATGTTATTTAACATAAAAACTCTGGTCCCCCAGATTTGTTGAGATTTTTTAATATGGTGCTTTTAGTAGCTGAGTTTGACACCCCTGCCCTAATGGATAGGGGATACCCACAATGCACTGCGCTGTTTGGTTTGAAGATTCACGTCCAGCTTCCCTGAACAGGATTATCTAGCCCAGTGGCAGCTGGACTGACCGCGGGAAGTTTTACTTTATTGAGCGAATGCATATAACAGTGTCCGAAAACGTTTACTACCATCACCAATTCTGCTCCCTACAGTGATCCAGATTTTCCACTGTAGGATATAGGGATTAGGGGACCACATCAGACACGGAAAAGGAGTTTTAGTCTGTAGGCGGAGCCTTATTTTAGCCACGCCCTTGAGCAGAAAGTGAGACCGCATCCCAAAGTCTGAATATCAGTGTGGAACGTTGGCCCTTTTCCACTTTTTTATCTTTCGGTCATTTCAGCAACAGTCAGTCAAAGTTGTGCTCTCAGATATGAGTCTTTAACCTCTAACGGGTGTTTTTAATCATCAGTTCACTGGAACCGAGCCCGTAATGCAGTGGGAGGCACCGTGTACTCGCGTTAGCTTAGCCTAGCAGGCTACAGCTTAAAGCACTACAGTACTGTTTGGTTTCTTTCTGTCAGTCCAAAACTGATCAGTCCACTTTGCCCTCACTGCTGTGAGTTCTTATCATCTATACCTGTGACAGCAGAGCAGTCAGTTGAATCGAACCTGCACTGCGGTGTTTGGATCTCTTTAGCTAAGCTAAGTTAGCTAGGAGAGAGGATGTGGCTAGCATTAGCTTAGCTAGGAGGCTCCAGCTTCAGACACCAGAGAACAGGTTTAATTGCAGCGTTCTGTCTTGCTAACACCAGCCACTCGACTTTGCTTCCTCAGATTTGAGTCAATATCATCTAAATTTGAGCCAGTAAAGCTTCTGTTAGTCAGAATCGAACCTGTTCAGTGGTGCATGCTAGCTAAGCTAATGCTAACCAGCTGCTCTCTCCTGGTTAGCAGCACTGTTTAACATTTAGAGATTGGTTTTAGGTTTAAAATCGTGCACTGCTTTCATTTATTTGAGCAAACTGAATGCTTTCGGGTTTGAAATAGCCCAGCCAGATGCTGTGGCACAATACCGATATAAACATAGAACCAATCAGTGACCAGCTACATGGTTACATCATCCCACCAAATGGTTCTGTTGCCCCGAGGACAGTTAGCTAACCATGCTGGGCTGATCTCGGCTTTTGAGCGCTCTGTGTGGAACCGTTACCCTCCATCCTCAGAACCGTTCGGCCCTGCAGTGGAAAAGAGGCCTTTAAGAATTCCCACAGATTTTTCTGTACTTTTTTGTGTTTTAATGAAAAATATGGTGATTTTATGTGTTTGCTAGTCATGCACTGGCTGCATTTTTGAGTTCTGCAAAAAACTCAAAAACTAGCTGGAGACCTTTCATTTTTGGCATTAAAGAAGCTCCATCTACTTCTGCAGCGTGTCTGCAGTGTGAGCAGAGCTGATGTAATGACTGATACAGTCAAAGAGCAGAATCTACTCTGCTGTATTGGAGGAAATTTGTTTTCTCTAAACTCTAAAGGCTCAAATTGGCAGCGTGGCAGGAAACAAGGTGGGCGAAGTGTCGACTGGGGTCTGCGAAGTTGTTGAGAGCTGCTGAAAATGTGGTGATGCAAACAGAAGTTTCAATGTTTGGTGCTTTGTACTGATTTAAGGGTCATTCTTATATCGAGTGTGTTGAGCAGCGTGAGCCAAACGGACGGCAGGACTCACAAAGAGCAGAATTTGCGTTTTTTTTTTTCATCTGAGAGTGAAAAAAGTGATAAAATGATAAAAATCCTAGTAAAGGTTTTAGTGGAAAACCTTTATCTTCACATTCATCAAAGTGTCTCCTTGGTATGAAGAGCAGGTGTTGCCTAAATAATGATTTGACAGTTTTCTTCTCCAAACTATTGTTAAAAGCACATGCAGAAACTCTTTTGGTCCACAGAAAGACAGAAATGCTGGCAAAAACAAGGCAGAATTCGGATCAGCGCTTAACACCCTCTGGCTGACAGGTTGGTGGAATGCTGGTTCCGTTCCATGACCATGCCGGGGGGCAAGGGGAGAGGGGGATTGACCCTTTGCTTTCACTTTGACTAATGCAGGCATTTCATCTGCAGCCACAGCAGAGTGAGTTCAGTACCACCTACAGCCATTTTGGCATTTGAGAGCTGGACCACGACCCAGACAGGTGTGTGGAGCCAAGGCATTTCTGGGATAAGTACCCCATGATGGAGGTACAGCAGGTACTCTGGGTCTCAGCCCCCCAGCAAGCCTCTGCCGATAAGTACTGTGCACTGAAAAGCACTCAAGGATCACAGTTATGGACCCCCGGGCACAAATGTTTGGTTGGCCCTTTACCCAGCTACCTTTTATGGTTGGTCAGGACATTTTTACAGTATCACAGCGGGTTATATGAGGGTTATGCAGCACCACAATGGTAGCAATGTTGGGTCGTCAGTGTTACAGCACATATTTTCCTTTTGCATTTGAGACAAAACAATAAAAAGATAAACAAGAGCACAGCTTAAAGGTGGATTTAGTTTAGAACCAGTTTTTGTCATATTTCCTGAAATAGCAATATATAGCTATTATATAAAAATATAAATCGAATGCTATGGTAATAAAAAGAAAAAAATGTCTGCGAAAGCCACAGGGCTGTAAAAACCCTTCCAATCATTTTATTTGGACTGTACAAAATGATTGGATGGCCTACCTGCCTGGCTACCTGCCGACCTCACAAAAGGTAGAGGTGGACAAAATAGCAGAGAAAGTTACACAGGTACCCACAACAGCTCAAAGAAAGAAAGAAAAAAAGATAGAAGTAGGAAAGGCTTTGAACTAAAAGAGGTTGGATAAAGCAAGGGGTCAAACTAGAGTGGCCATCAATGCGGCTATCCAACGGTGGGGAAACCCGAGGGAGCTGAAAGGCTGGAAAGCAACGCCAAGGCTGCTGATTTTCTGTTGGACAGGTAATTATCTGGTTTGTTCTGTTTATAGGGGACTGTGTCACATTCCTGAATTATGTTGCTAATGTAGCTAACTGCTCATTTAGTTACATTATGTGTTATTCCAATGCTAACGTTAGCTGAGCTATAGGTGTACGCTAGTTAGCTACGTTCGAAGGTTCCATTTCTCAGCCGCATATATTATAAGCACTGTCCCATTTCAGAAGAACATGGAGGATCTTTGAAATGCTACCAGCAAACGTGGCCTTCTTTTGGACAAATTCTGTGGAAGCACTGATGTTTCAGCCCCGAGTTACCATGCAAGCTAGAAGCTACTGCAATAAAGGAGCAGAGCCAGTTCGGAAGGAAAGCAGAAGAATTTGTTTTTAAACATATGTCGCTCCCATTGCTGCTGGACTGAGAACCAAAAATATCCAGTCAACAGCGTCCTGTGGGCAGCGTCCTGTGACCACTGATGAAGGACTAGAGGATGACCAACACAAACTGTGCAGCAGCAGATGAGCTATCGTCTCTGACTTTACATCTACAAGGTGGACTGACAAGGTAGGAGTGTCTAATAGAGTGGACAGTGAGTGGACAGTGTTTAAAAACTCCAGCAGCACTGCTGTGTCTGATCCACACG